TACCTAACAATGCAAACACTGCAACCTAATGGTTTGTACCCTCATATTAATTTGAAATTTAAAAAAACTTTGATTTTTTTTTATTAAATGATGGCTGTGTACATTGATGCAAACATGGGGTACAGTGTAGTGTTTTCATATACATTTTGAAATATTTTCATCAAACTGGTTAACATAGACTTTGTCATTCACTTAGTTATTGTGTTAAGACATTTATACTCTAGTTTTAGAAAGATTCACTTATACCCTTGTAAGACAGACCATAGAGGTAGTCCTTCCAATCACCCTCCCTCCACCTCTCCGCCCTTCTCCCCCCCCCCATAATTTTGGGCTAGAATTAGGTTGTAGCTTTCATTTGAGAGCTATAAATTAGTTTCATAATAGGGTTGTGTACATTGGATATTTTTTCTTCCATTCTTGTGATGCTTTGCTAAGAAGAACATTTTCCAGTTCCACCTATGTAAACATGAAGGCGGTAAAGTCTCCATCTTTCTTTAGGGCTGCATAGGATTCCATAGTGTACATGTACCACAGTTTATTAATCCATTCGTGGATCGATGGGCACTTGGGCTTCTTCCATGACCTGGCTATTATGAATCTATTATGAATTGGGCTGCAATAAACATTCTGATACAAATATCTTTATTGTAACGTGATTTTTGATCTTCTGGGTATATACCTAATAAAGGAATTGTAGGATCAAATGGCAGGTCAATTTTTAGTTCTTTAAGTGAAAACTTTGATATTTTTAAGATTCGTATAGGTGATGTCACTGGATTATATACACTTATCATGGTTAAAATGATAAATTTTATGTTAAGTATATTTCACCACAGTAAAATGCTGTACATTTTGTTTTATTTTAATGGACCTGATTTTGATTTAATTTTGTTGAATTTCCCCCTGCTGTAGGCCTGGCCCAGGAGCTGGCCCTGCACGTCCCCGGCTGCAGTGTGTTCCTCTTTGGGGAGGCTGACCTGCCTGAGAAGCGCAGTCTGGTCCAGAGAAGGAAGCAGCTGGGCTGGTTCACAAGGAGGGACTTCAGTGCTCTTGAGCCTGACCTGGGAGCTGCCCCTGCCCGAAGATGTGGTTTGACAGGTTCTGAGTATGGTTTTTGCTCTGTTATTGTTTCTTTAACTTGATGTTAGAATACTGAGGTCCCCTTTATTGGGTCACACTCTCACAATGCAGGAAAATTTACAGTAGTAGCTCTGTTTTGGGTCAGGAGATGGTTTCCTCTTAGTTCTTACTTTAACCAGTAAGCCTAGAAGCTTCTGTCAGTTATTTGATGAGGGCCCCCAGGAATGCTGTTCACGATCCACCTGTATAACAAGTCCTGTGACATGCCCACTGGTGATGAGAAGGCACACAGCTCCTGGCCCTGGGACATGGTCTGGTGTTGCATCCTGGGGTGTGATGGAGACCCTGGGGTGGGGAGACTTAGGCAGAGGCTACTGCTAGTTGGTAGGAATGAATTTCAGTCCTTGAATTTCCAATGTAGCCAAGTTGGTGCTTACAGCTGGAAACCAATTTTTCTAACACTGAAGAGAAGCTTCTCTAGACCATGGGCTTAGAGAACTGAGAGAATTAATAGCAGGGAATGAAATTACTCCTTCTCCGGTAATCTCACCAACATTTGCCTCTTCTTGCTGCTCCAGCCCACACCGCTGCCCAACTCCTCAGGGACTACTTAGAACCCCACCCCTGTCACCTGCACTCCACCATTCATCCTAGTGTCATTCTCAAATATTTTCTGTAAGGGTCACAGATCACATTTTGGTGGTTAACGCCTTGGCAGTTACTAAAATACTAGATAGGCAAGGGGTGCGACTCATGGCAGGGGGTGAGCTTAAGAAACGTGGTGCAGTGTTGCTAAAACCTTCAGGGTCATTTGCATGTGGGCCTTTTCTTGCTAAACCATGGTATAGAATTCTGATCTTAAAGAAAGAATATCTGTAATCAAATAAAGTTTAAAAAAAACCACAGGTTTTGAAGCTGTTCTCCAACCTGGCCTTGCTGTTTACTGGCTGTGTGACCGTGGGGGAGTTCCTGAGTCTCATTAAATCTCAATTCCCTGATCCATTAACATGGACTTAATTGTAATTTCTCCTTATTAATATTTGAAAGTTGAAATCATGTCTGTAAGGTGCCCAACACAGTACTAAAGGGCTGTTTCTTCCTCCCTATGAAGAGGAGATTTATAAAAACGTTACTATAAATGTATTTCATTCAGCATTTTGTTGTAGAAGAAAGGAAGAAACTGATTGCTCTCTGCCAATTTGAACCTCACATTTTCCCATGATTTGTCTCACAAATGGAGAAGTGTAAGTTTTATGACTAAATTTTCAGAAATCTATTTCCTGGTTTCTAATTTGAGCTTTCTAAAGACTGCAGGGATTATGCTGTGAGTGCAGTCAGCTCAGTGCCAGGTGGACTGGCGGTGCAGTCAGGCAGACAGGAACTGGAAATAGGAACACGGTACCAGAGCGCAGAAGAACCGGTTTCAGCATTGGGTTAAACAGACACTTGAACACCTTAATTCTCATTTTGTCAATGTCAGATTAAATGGGTGGGCATTTGGGAAGAACTTTAACCTGATACAGAAGGTATCTCTGAATTGAAGACCAAATGCCAGTATTACCACTGATCATATTCAGTCTCCTGAGAACAAACTTGGTATGTGGCTGGTTAAGTCCTGGTGAACATGGCATCCCAGGCTCCTCCCCAGGGCCTATGGTTGGGATAATCTGCGCCTCTGCTCCGGCATCGCCTATTTATGTTGTTTGATTTGAAATGGACAACCTGTTGGGATTTCTGATTTTTCTCTATTTTTATTCCACACAGAGATCTGTAATTTACATAGAGAATTTCATCAAAATTGCAAATCCCAAGTTTAAACTTCAAGGTGCCAAAATTGACATAACAAATGTTTAAGCATGTATTTTAAAGGTAATATTTAACACTAGGGAAGATGAGTCAGAGACACTTGGATTGCTGATGGTCACGTCAATTGGTGTAGCCTTTTTTTTTTTTTTTTTTTATTTTTTGGCTGGGTGGGTTTGAACCTACCACCTCCAGTATATGGGGCCCATGCCCTACTCCGCGCTGCCCAATTGGTGTAGACTTTTCAGAAGTGAGTTGGATATGTACCAAGGTCTCTAACTGCTTTTTAGGAATTCTGTTTCTAGTGATAGATCCTAAGGAAGTAAAAGAGACACATGTACTTATTATGTACAATTATGTTTATCAAAGCATTATTTATAATAGCAATTACTGAAAACAACAGAAATGTTTGCCATTGGGAACGATTCTATAAACTATGGCATACCCAGGCATGATGTTGTAGACTACTTTTTAGAGACATGGAAAATACAATCTAATGTAGAGAGAAGTTGTAGTTAATTAATTAATACAACAAATATTTATTAAGTACCTACTTAAAAGCCCAGCAGCATTATCCATGGGCAAGATATAACTCTTATACCCTCAAAGAATTTGTATTATAGATGGGAGAGGGGTGAGAAGATGATAAGCTTAATAAATGAATTATGTATTATGTTAGAAAATAATAAGTTTAAAAAAAAAAAAAAAGAAAATAATAAGTTCTATAGCCAAATGGAAAATTGAACAGGACATGAGCATCATGAGTTCTGGAATGGGGCTGCATTGTGACTTTATTAATTCACAATTTATTAATTCATCCAAATTAAGCCTTATTGTAAGGGAGGTATTAGAACATAGACTGAAGGAGTGAGCCAGGAGCCATGAGATGGGGAATAGTTTTGGGCAGAGGGAATAGCCAGGGTTAGGGCCAAGGGATACAAGGTAGTATCAACAGTGTGATCTCAGTGTTGTAAAACATATGTGCGTATGTTTTATTTACATCGTATGTTTACAAGAAAAAAATTTAAATTCTTAAAGCCTCCAATTTATCATCATAATTATCCCTAAACTGATTTTGTGATTATTTCCATTATCTTCCTCAAAGGGTAATTATTGAAGTTTGTTAGTGAGACATTTTTTAAAAGTTAGGTTTTAGTGCCTTCATTCAGATTAGATTTCTGGGAAAATTCGTGATAGGGAAGGAAAAGTAGCACAACGTTTCCCCATATATCATTTTTTCACTAGTATCTGCTGACAAAGGGTAAAAACTTTAGTTTGTGGAAGAAACTTGAACATTACAGCTTGCCGAGGTTAGGCAGACCGTTCATCCCGCATTGAGTAGGCTCAAAGCAGGCACTAATACCTTTTGGGGGCAAGACACACTTGTAAGAGGGACTTTACCTAACAAATGAAATCAGTGTAACCTGGTTTCACGTGCCCTCAATGAATCCCCAACAATAAAAAAAAAAAAAGCCAGTGCTAACAGCAGAAAAATAAAATATTTCAAGAAGCAACAGTGAATATGGGAGGTGGATAAACAATTTCTTCACTGAAATCTTAGGTTCCTTTAATGGCACAAATTCTTCCTTAAAAAAATTGTAAGTGGAAAGGATTAAATTGTTTTCATTTTTCGAAGTAATTTCTATTGAAGTTAATCTATACCACCTCTTTCATTAGGGCAGAAAGGTTATCCATCTAATTTTTTCGATGAATTTGGTTCCCAGCAGTAGTGGTTTCTCCCTTACTTTTAAATTCAGTGGTTTTATATATTCCCTAACTTTCTTTTAGGTTATGTCAGTGTTCCCCAATATACTTTTCCTCCCACTAAAACAGAAGAGCCTCAATACATTGTTGCTGTGTTTATTTCTTTTCCTACAGAAATTAAATAGAAATGATTGGTGCTATCAACTGATTCCTGCAGTCAACATTCCAGTGACAAATTAACCTAAACAGTACCTGAGAGGAAGCAGAATCTATAAGGGAACAGGTTTCTGTTTTGAAGTTCCCGAAGAATATTATAAACAGAAGAGAAAAAAAGAAGTGAGCTCAGAAATGATTAACACCCACAGTCAGTGCCAACCACACACAATCTTTTAAGCCAAATTCCTTTTAAAAGTTTCTAGTCGGCCAGCTTGTGGGGAACATAAATAAGGGCAAAGCAGTAATAGTTGATACTCTTAGATCTATAAATAAATACTTTATGCATATATATTTAAAAGCCCTAAACATTTATGGGATAATTTAAACACGGCTGTCTGATAGGTCGTATGAATGGGCTGCATCACTGTTTGAAAATGCAGGGAGAGTCTTTGAATTAGAGTTTCATATGATGCCTTAGGAATCATAGATGGAGGTAATTGGTAGAGCTTGGGATAAGGGCCTTCTGTTCCGTTATCAGATGGGTTACAGAAAGCTGCCTTTCTAAGTTCTTTCTACTATATGTAAGAAAGGCATCATCCAGTACTGTTCTCAACATTACATAATCCAATTTACTCCACACCCCAAATTTTACCTGGTCTTTGAAAAATAAACTCTGGTTTTAGAATAAGTCTAGTTTTAAGGAGCCCATTTTCATTGTTTCCTGATTCGAGCAAGTCTTATTGGGACAGTGGAAAATGAAAGTCTCTTGTGTAGCTGAGTATGTAACCTGTGATCGAAACACCAGGGACTTAGGCTTGGCTTGAAATGAGGGTGGGCCCCGTTGCTCTATTGAAAGGCCTGATAGGCAGCAATTCGCCTTAGGTTTCCCTCATCTGGGCTGGCTTCATTACGTGAGGGGGATGTGTACCTCTCTGTGTAATTTCCTCTTCCGAATTATTGTTACTGTGAAAGATTCAAAGTCAGTAAAATGAGGTTCACAATTCTTTGCAGAGCCGGAAAACATCGCTGCACTTTCTTTTCTGTGATTCAGCCACATGGGTGGGAGTCCTGCCTTCTTCCCGCCATAGGAACGTTGGGCTCAGCAATTATGTTTGAGTTTTATGCGTTAGTCATCAAATGTTCTGTTTCAGCTGTGGTTTCTCTTTAGTGCATGTTCTTAAAAAATATGAAATACCAATATGTAATGATAACTAATTGCTTTTGGTATAATTGCCTTCAACCCATGTTCTGAGTCTGATAGCTTACTTTGTTACTTTGAAGCAAAGACCACATTTAAGCTAGGATTTTACTTTATTTTATTTTATTTTTTGACGTCCAGTGAATCCTTTTTGTTGGTGTAAGGGCACGCTGCTGCTGCTACCTCAGTGCCTCGTAACTTTGGCACCGGTGGTCTCAGACACCACTTTGCTGTCCACTACCCTGCAGGTGGTGGTCTTTTGGATGGTTTACATGGAGG